CAGCAAATAGCCATATCGCGAGCCTACGTTTTGTTAAATCTTGGCGACTCCGTTACTACTGACCATATCTCACCTGCTGGTTCTATTGCTAAGGTGATGAGTACTTTGCTACAGCTATCTGCTATAGTTGATTAGCATTCTTATGGTTTAGACATTTAGACGTCACCAGCAGCACGCTACTTGGCAGCTCATGGTTGTTCTCCTAGGGATTTCAATACATACGGTGCCCGACGAGGAAACGATGAGGTGGAGTCTATTCCTCTGAGCCTTACTCTCGGGTTCTGTCTTGTCCGCAACTGCACAAATATGATCTTACTGGAAACTCACCTTGAAAATGATAGCTTCTCTTCTTTTCCATAAATCACTAAAAAACACGAGAACAGTGATAAAGATAAGAAACTTTAGCTTGGTGCCTTATGCGGCGCATTTTCAAATTAGTTGACAAAAATTCGAAGGCTGTCATCTACTTAGGAACATGGCATGAGAAAAAAACATTGTTTGTGTATGCATCACTCGACAGAAATAATGAGAATAGGCGAAATTAGTTTGTAGCATAGTACAGCCATTAAAAATTTTGAAATTGTGAAATAAATTGTCAGAATAGAAACGAACTAAAAGCTAAGTTGGTTCGCTTTGGGTTACTTTACTTTGATTATAAAATTTGTATCTACCCAGCACTCTTAGACTGAAAAAGTAGTCATAGCGCCTGAAAACTCCGAACCACAACAAAAATCTAGAACAGACTTTTTTCTAGATTATGTCGAGAGGAACATTTGCTAATATCCGACTTGCAAATAAGCTTGCATCGAAAGTGGGCCCGCGAACGCTACACATACCAACTGGTGAAGAAATGGATGTTTATGACGCCGCTACAAAATACGCCTCAGAGGGTCATCCTGTACGTTCATTTCCAATTTTCCAAACTTTTTCGCATGTATTTGCTATATTAGGTCATAATTATCGCTGGAAAAGAGTACGGTTGCGGTTCATCGCGTGATTGGGCTGCAAAAGGACCATATCTACAGGGTGTGAAAGCTGTAAGTTTCATCCTTAAACCAGAAAGAAATGATGATGAGCTGATATAACAGGTTATTGCTGAATCATTTGAACGAATTCATCGTTCAAACTTGATCGGTATGGGCATTGTTCCTCTACAATTCAAAAAGGGAGAGAATGCCGAGACTTTAGGGTTGACTGGAAAAGAACAATACAGGTCTGGACTGTTTCAGTTCTTGCATACCGTGATATGTTGCATTTCAGCATTGACATTCCTGATGATCTAAAAACAGGTGAACTGCTCAAAGTTACGCTTTCCACTGGGAAAACATTCGAGGTGAACCTTAACTTTCCTATGAAGAAGTACATAAGACCTTTTACTAATTTCAGAAAATAAAGCATGTTTGACCAGATCTTGTAGGGTTGAGATTGATTCGATGCCAATAGCGAGTTAAAATACTGAAATCTCTTCATTCAGTAAACGTGATGGAATTTTTAGTCTTGAGCAGTTTAACAGAACCAAAAGAAAATGTTCTATTATCAGCGTCTGCTAAATTAGTCGTAATGTTGGCTTGCTGTAGTATTTTTAGCTTCTATTTCAGGTTGTTTGCCGCTTCGATACTGAGGTTGAACTCACATACTATCGTAATGGTGGAATTCTCCAATATGTTATCAGGAAACTTATTCAGTGATTAGTCGAGCTCAAACTTCACTAACATTCACTTAATAACTGCTTTTTGTTGTTAATGCTACCTTTTTGCTAGAAAAATATCACTAGTACCTTATCATTTTTTTCGTCTGTGTTGAAGTGATATGTGATATGTGAAGCTCAGTGATAACCCAACTCGTCTGGAGAGCAGTCTTGTTTTCCCCTTGTTCTCAGTGATATCTTTGTTTCATTTGAGATACAGTGAATTTGATGAAAATACAATTTGAACTGCTTGAATCACAGATTAGACGATGTGCTCATTTTCAAGACCGTTTTTACTGTGTAGCTCATTCCTACTTTTTGTTAATTGACCTAGATTCCGTAAACGTGAAATTGATAAAATTTAATCTTGTAATGATCTAACTAATAATAGGTCTATCGAAGTAGTTTGTAAGAAAAGAGCTATCGCTCACCAGATCTGAATATTCTTAT